TATGAGTTGAGCTGACGTTTCCATTCAATTTCACATAGCCTTGCTTTCACAAAAGTTGTTCTCATGCATGGGTGTGTTGATAAGACTGATGCGAGGTCGAAACTGAAGTGCATTTGTGCCTGAATGAGAACAACTTTTGGGAAAACAGGGCAATGTGAAATTCAATGGAAGCGTCAACTCAACTCATATCATTGTGGGAAAATTCTTCTTCTACCACTCCTTCATCACCTCAAACGAAATTGGGTGATTACATCTCATATTATTAAATTTGCTCAAAAAAGGTGTCTTTTAGAAAACCACTTTAGATTTCTGTCACAGTAAAGGTCAGATTGAATGGTTTTGTGGGCATTTGGCATCCAAACCAATTTAAGCATGTTCGATTACGTCTTCACCAACATTATTCACAACCAGATGGAAGTTGGCTTTTAATGAATGTAAAGGAAAGTGACAGGATTTTTTTTTAGGGAGGCATAAGAAGCACAAGCTTACTACGGCTATGTCGGATGGGAGGATGGAATGCATAAGAACACTTTGTCAAAATCGACAACCGAATTTATGATTATGATTTTAAAGAAGCATTTTAACGTGATTTTTTATACCTTCTGTACTTACAGTTCGTCGTTTTGACGGCAGAAGATCCTTTAAACGCTGTTTTGTATGCGTACTGAGTGGAAAGTGGAAAATGACTTTTAGTGCATAATACATGTCCTTTCTGTAGGTTGGTGTCTAGCTGTGATGAACATTGAAGAATGTACAGACTCGGTTGCCAAGGCTCACCTTTTTGCCGGGCTCACAGCCACCACTTTGGGCTCAAGTCCTGACCAACAGTTCAAAGGCGTTGGAGAAGTAGACACTTGCAATGTCCTCCGCCAAAGTGTCCGCATGCCAGCCGGGTCGTTTGGACTTCTGCTTCATTCACAGACGAAAACCCTCGACAGTAAGTTCGTCTGTGCCACACATTGAAGGGTATATATTCAGTTGCTAGGCTCTAGCAATGGCGGATGCCTTTTTACAGATCCGAGGGGTCTGTTGCAAATCACTGGCAACTCGCCCATTTGCACGTCTCCAAGACATGCTCCTCGGCCTCGGAGGCCGGTCATGATTGGGCCAATCTGAAAGGACGCTCCTCTTCGGTCTTCAGAGGCGCCAATAATGAACCGGGGCAAAGTAAAAAATGGTATTTTAATCAGCGAGTCATGTAGCAATCACTAAGTAACATGAAAAACACTATTTTTTATTGATTCACTAACTATTGTATTAGCTATGTTCACTCAATTTTATTAAATCTGATGAAGGACTGATAGTTGAATTTTCCCACAAGCGTATGAGTAGAGGCGACGTTTCCATTCAATTTCACATAGACACGTTACCACGAATGTGCTTGTGTCACAGCGCTTATGTGAATTTCAGGGAAGGCCAGGCCTTCCCCCATATCACATTCTTTGGTAGGATTGTAGATCAGGCAAAGTTACACTTGCTAAAGCAATCCACAACATTACAAATATTTCCTTTTTGAGTAGGTTTTCGAGACTACCAGCAAATCAGTAATCTAAAATGTATTTAACCTATTTCGTCTAACGGGATGAAGGACTGGTAGTTGAATTTTCCCACAATCATATGAGTAGAGCTGAAGTTACATTCAATTGCATATAGACACATTACCACGAATGTGCTTGGTTAACAGTGATGATGTGAATTTCAAGGAAGACCAGGACTTCCCCCATATCACATTCTTTGGTAGTATTGTAGATGAGGCAAAGTTATACTTGCTAAAACAATCGACGACATTAAAAATATTTCCTTTTTGAGTAGGTTTTCAAGACTACCAGTCAATCAGAAAGATGAGATATATTCACCCTATTTCGTTTAAGCTAACGAAATATGAGTAATGTCGTCGAGTTATTTAGCAAATATAACTTTACCTCATCACCAATCACATCACATACTGCGATATTGGAAAATGCTTGGCCTTCCCTGAAATTCACATCATCCTTTTGACCCAAGCACATTCGTGGTAATGTGTCTATGTGAAATTGAATGGAAACTTCATCTTAACTCATATGCTTTGGGAACAATTCAAGCACTAGTCCTTCATCACCTTAAACGAAATTGGGTGAATACATTTCATCCTTATGATTGACTGGTAGCCTTGAAAGCCTACCCATAAACGAAATATCAGTTGTAGTTGTTGTTGTTGTTGCGTACAGCATGTTGAATTCTACAGATCGTCATAGTTTCACTTGCCAAAATTTGCTTCATATGCTCGAAGCGCTGAGTTCTGGGCAGCACATGTGTTGGAGACGGCCTTATTCAGTATTAGTTTGGTGTCTCTGAGACGACAATCAACTAAGCAATCCCGATGGCCAGCACGGCCGCTCCTTAGACGCGTTTTCGAGTCATTGTTTCGACGAGAGGTCGTCTTCAACAACAAAAAATGCCACCGTGCCCTCGAATAGACTTCCGGGTGCCTAGGCGCCAGCCTCATAATTTCATTCCTCCCGCGAATTCCAATAAGATGACAAGACTGCTACTGGCTCGTCAATATGCTACCCTCGAACGGATTCTCCGAAAGCACCAGCTAACCAGAGATCACTTTTTTCGCAGAATAGATTTCCTTGGCAACTTGGGAGCTTGAGGCAGTAATATGCCCTATGTACAGGCTTACGAGCGTTGTCATGACTACCATTGTTTCGGTGTGTTGACTAAATCCCCTCTGCCAGTCCCATGTTGCCCCAACGGATTGCTGTCCGACACGACGGTAGCCGACCTGTTTTGCTGAAGCTCGACTCCCGGCTCGTTGGGAACTGACTTCTCCCTCTTTACAGTTTGGGCGGGATTTCCACTTGACAACAAATTGCATAACAACAGCCCATATTTTTTCCGTTCATGTATGTCTCCTTTGTTTCACACATCCCCGCCGCTGTAGATGCGACTGATCTGCTGTCTCGCTGTCCGCTTGCCAGACTCGTCTATCCGTTCGACCTCAGCTTTACACCTTTAGAGATGGGGCGATGTGTTTTGACCCGTCTTCTGCGTAAACTTGGTTGTCACGAGCTGCACGAGTTGCTGCAGCTTAGGACAGAATTGTTAAAAGCAATGACGCTGGCGACTAGACGTCGGGTAATCAATCAGTAATGGGATTTTTATTTTTAATATGCCATTAGCATTTTTTCTCATCATCTATGCGAAACAATTCAAAATATTATAAAATTATGATCCACTTTTTCCCCGTTACAATTACCCCCATCCCCATGCGACATACTTTTAATAATAATTTGGGTGAAATAAGTTCAAGAAACTGTGGCCTCAGGTATGGCTGGAAGGATCAGCTGCTGCGACAAGCGGACAAAGGAGTGGAGCAACAGTGAAAATGAGTAAAACTCATTATAGTGATAAAATGGAGCAAATACTTGGGGGAAATAGGCCAGTCGAATGAAGAACTGATGAACCAAAAGAGTGCCTAAAAGTAGGTTCACATGCGATAAATATGCAAGGAAACAAGATCACCGACAACGCGATTAGGACTAACAGTCAACAAGTGAGTGGCAACGCAGAAACTCGAGGCACATGAAAAGTCAAGAAGAGGCGATGGTAGTGATTTGAGCCAAATCCAGTATCAGCTTTAATAAGTTAACGTAGATTTGAGGGATTACAAGCGTTGGGCTAGTTTTCCATTGGGGATGATAATTTCTAAATCCCTCAAAATCCATTTGAGTGTTGCAGCCGAGGTTGGAGACGCAAGCTCTTTACATGTGTTAAGAGTGTTTATGGGGAAGGGGAGGCGGTCATTTACATGTTTGAAAAAACGATTTATTACTTAATGTACACACTTATGTATGAAATGTATTCAGTCATTTCGTTTAATTTGACGAAGGACTGGTAGGGGAATTTTCCCACCAGCATGTGAGTATAGCCGACGTTTCCCCTTGAATTTTGCATGAGCCTGTTTTCTACAGAAGGTGTTTTCATCCAGGTAGAAATGGAATACAGTTTCGACCTCGCAAAGGTCATATCAACACCCCAAGCGGTAGTCGAGGCATGTGAGTGCAGCGTGTGATCTCGAT